CAATTCCATGATGACCTTGTAAGGTCATGAGATGGCATCCATCATTGTATTCATGTACATAAAGGCAGGTGATGACTGGTAACTGAAGGACATGTCAATAAACAAGGTCAGTGGTTCAAGTGTAGGTCTTTTGAATAAAATGTGCTAGAAATACTGTTATCTTTTTAACCAACTGTTGTTAATCAAAAATCAGCTGACATGTAAATATATTATACATACTGTATATTCATTTATCAGGTGAAAATGGTTTTGTACCTGCTGCCAATTTGAGAATTACCCAGAATAACTTGTGTATAATTTTACTAATTTTCTTTTTTTGTCTGATAATAAAAAGCAATTGCCGCTCATGTGAGACATAATCAAATGTGTTCTTCTATTGGAAATTGCAAGGATGAATTTTGGGACCCCCCCCCCCATTTAAATACCATCCAATAACAGTGAATAACACTTTATATTATTATGCAAATTAGCCATGGTGGTACAATATTTTCCTAGTGTTCGCGACTATTTTCCAAATCAGGCCAGTGACTTGACTAGCTCAGCCAAACTTTTTGGGGGGGTTCCCGACCATTTTTTATACTGGTATGAAATTGTTTTTTTTATCTTGTGTAAAACTTCAACTTGGTAAGACTGTGATACATCATAGATAGATAAAAACTTAATTGTGGTTGTCTTTTAATTCATTCTCTAATTGTGTTTTCATTTCATTTATTGTATCTGTCATGGTGGAATGATTTCCTTCAGTTTGATATTGAATGTATCTCTTTCAAGATTTATTGTGTACGTTTATGTTCAATGCATAATAATGTTTTGTTTTTTTTCTTTGTCATGCTTTTTGCGTATTTTCTATTTTCCTTAAATCTCTTAAAATCTGAAAATTTAGCTCCAAAAAGAATGACTCAATCATGAAATGGAGAATGGATTTCCCCCTAAAACATGGGAGTAAAACCCCCCCAATATTTCCAAGAATTTGTGATTCTTTTTTTTCACTGTTTCGTTTTCTGTCTGTGCAATTAAAGCGAGAGGGTCGTCACGAGCGCACAGGCAGGAATTGAGTCCCAAGCGACGATAACACCACACACATGTAGGTAGACGCATGTTTGTAAACAATGACGACTCCCCCGCTTTAACTTTCCTATGCGATTTTTGTTTTGTTTTCCTTTTTATGGAGTATTTATTTCCTATACTTATCATTTTACTGTCATGACATGTTGTCAGTATGCAATATTCAATATTTGTATCCTGTCTCATTAAGAAAATGCGAATACCATATATGGAATACTTACATTTCCTGAGATGGCGAACATTTTTAAAAATGGAAAAATTGAACTCAATGACGAAAGATTTGGAAACTACTTGAGTGGCAAAAACAATTAGCGCTTGGTTCCAGCATGATTTTGACAGCCATTTGCGCCAAAGTAACCACAATTTTTGAAACCCACATTTATTTTTTTCTATTTTCTCTAAAAGTTGATCAAGACCTATAACCAATAGGAAATTATGTCTTTTCGGTTCAATATTATCTTAAATATTATGGAAAAATACATTAAAAAAAGGTAAAATGTTGCACCCAAAATATTTATTAATGATGGCAGTCATTGGGATAATGTTCCTGTTATCATATCGGTCATGTTCAACATTTATATTTACATGGAGTCTTTATCTTGAGTCTATAAAGAAATATGGGGCTATCTTGTGACCATATCGCATTTTGTGTGACTTTTTTTCGATTCGCGTGTGACCTTCACCGCATAATCCCACGCTTATACTATGTACTTCCGTTTACAGTAAAATTCTTCGTTTCAAGTGCCTGCGAGATGAACATCTCATCAGCGGACAAGACCAGACCCCCCCCCCCCCCCAACCTCACATTGGACGAAGTACTACAATGTTGTACTCACCAATGGTCACGGTTAGAATGCAAAAGTCGTCGAAACTAGAGGACGTTCAGTCAGATCAGCTTGTAAAGCAGAACATGCGTCACATTATAGCGTACAAACCAACTAACCCCCAGATAGGAAAGCGCCAGTAAGCGATCAAAGTGATCGATTCGTTTGTTTTATGTTTTCAACCAAGTATAAACGAAAACGGTATCATGCCTGCTCCCAATTTATGAAAGTTTCATCAGGAAGAGAAAGAGAGAAATATGTTCTGATTTATCAAAGTCACTACAAAGTTGTGTACGCTGTCATTGTTTTTTTATTCTGTTTTCTGTGAAATAATAATACTAATAGTGGAATAAAGTGTTTAATGCGTGCGACCCGTGTTGCATACTTACACAGCTAGCTTTTGGTACCCGATAAATTGTAACAATTAATAAGGTGATTTCTTTCGAAATACGCTGCACACGAATGTAGTACGAGATGTGTTGTCTACTATTGATGTCTACGGTTCGTCGTCAAATGTCGTAATACTCTAACATCGAGCCAGACCTTCTTTTATAGACCCTATTCATTATGCTGAGTCATGGTGACATGCATCATTGCCTGGTATGTAGAACAGCCAATGTTACAATATGCTTATTCATGGTGACTAGACTTTGGACGCCGGGACTTCTAGAGTGTTCTAGCAGGCAAATCCTGTTCGACGGAATCCGGAATTCGGTCTGAGTACAGAATACTTTACAAGAATGCAATGTTGTCAACTAGAGCGCCTCAACCATTCTCTCCTATATGATACTTTACAGTTTGATCCAAGTTTGATACTTACTATATAACTATCATTCCCTGCACTAGAGTGAAGTAGCGTTCATTGAGGTATGAAACTACGGTGAAACTAGTGAACGCTACCCCAAGCAAAACGCCGGAAAAGCTAATGAACCCTATTTTAAAATAGGCATAACTCTCCTATATTTTAGTCAATTTAATAAACAAAAAGTAAGCAAACTGTTCCTGTCTGAGTAGTTAGTTATTAGTTTTCGCAAACGAGTTTCGTTTTCGATATTGTATGCTGAACACTGTTCACAAATGGATGAAATATAATTTTGTAAGACATATAAAGGCCAGCCAGTACATTTTTATCATAAATGTCATTAAAATATGTGCCTAAAAAGCCCCCATAGATGTAAAAAAAACAACAAAAGATGTGGTGACAGGTAAAGACTGGTATGTGCAAATGACGGAAAAGTGACTGCTGTGCAATGGAAATCAATTCTCAAATTAATTGTTGCTAATAGTATGGTGGCAAGTGTAATATTAAAACTTGCCACCATAGTCATTCATAGTATTGCCGTTTTATTTTAATGAAATAAATAGAAAACAATTATTTATTAATTGACATATACACCTGCTTTGCAGTATTTGTCAGACGTCGTCATGTTGGTCTTGGCAACCATGAAAAATGGACGTGGCGAACTTCTTTCTCTTATGTCGACAATAATTTGATCGACAGTCCCTCTGGCCTGATGTTAGACTTGCTTGCAGTTTGTTGCGATGCCGATGAAAAATCCTTGAAAAATAAATATAAATTGCGTAAACGAGGGGTGAACGCGAAAGTCATGTGACCGCGAAATCCCAACAGACTTGCCATCAGTGTAAGCGCCCTCACATTACCGGCGAGATTCGGGCTTGTAATGATTGACATGTCTAATATGTTTCAACCAATCAAAAGACAGGCTAATTAACATATCAACTGAGACCCCGAAAACCACACACACTCCGGGGCTCGGCTGCTCTACCCACCGTATGACGTATATGCAAAAACGTCCGTCATTCTTTGAAATGTGGATGAACGCGTCGGGTCATGGCATGGAGGTAGAAAAGAGATCATAATCAGCAAAGCATGGCAGAGATATAGCACTATAACTGCATTCATTAAAACAAAATGGCCGCCAGTCTGTCATTTTAACTTGAAATTGGATCTGAAAAATAAAATGATGTGCATCAAGGTCCCATAATATCCAACGTTTGTACCAAATTGAACAAAAAATCATCCATAAATGCTTGATTTTGATGATTGTTTAGCACAAAAATGGCCACCATTCGGCCATCTTAAATTAGATCGTGAAACAAATTAATGTGCATATGTATAATAGTATGCATGATGTATGTGTGAAATTTGATTGTGATCGGTCTAAGGTACATGTCCGGACGCATGAACGGACACACGGACGCACGAAGGTCAAAACGTAAGTCCCCGTTTTCGGACTACTTCCTTATGGGGAATAATAAGGACAGATATTCGGCGTAAGCTTTTGTCTACTGATGTCACACCTTCGGATCATCTGGAAACGCTAGCCATGTGCACAGTCAGGCCCGTAGCCAGCACTTTTGAATAGGGGGTTCTAAAACAACAATTATACATTTGATGTGAAATGTGTGAATTTTATATTATTCAAAAAGTGTTTTTGAGCTCTGTTACAGACATTTTTATATTATCGGTTTTAAATTAAATTTTATTGGTAAGATATTTCACATAACATCTTTGAACTATTTTACCATTTTAGAGAAGGGGTCCTGAGCCATTCCTCAAACACATCCACACCATTGATTCACTACGGCAAAATGTTGTACACAAAAAAGACAAGACTGTACTTATCTTAGCATTATTGTCTAAGTATTTTAAGGTAGAAGGCTACTTACGAGTTTTTTCGCTCTTCGCAGATGTTAGCGCCACATAAAAGTGACACGATTTCATGTCGAAATCTGTCTACAATTATTCATTTTAGTATTAGTCAATTTTGTATTATGTAATTTTATTTCTGTACAGGGCCTCAGCCTATCTTACAAAATGTAATGGGTAGAAAAGTGCATAGCACGTTTTAAACACAATACAACATCCATGTAAATACATGGTACTAAGTTAAGCTGAATTCATATTCGTCTCGTCGCTTGAAACTTTTTAAAATATAGAGCTATTTGATATATGGTGTGACAGTTTGTGTAGCGACGAAGTAAGCCTGTCAGTATTTGCATAATTGCATAGGGTTATTGACAAAAGATCAGCCCTTAGATCATTATATAATGG